ACTTTTATTTTATTCTAGATTTGCAAGTATTCACTCCTTTGCAGAGAGCCTACATTTTCCCCTCCTAAACCACGTCACAATTTAGGAATGGAATAATAATAAAATATTAACAGTCAGCAGAACACAAGGTACTGCATCTTCTATCACCTCATTTATTCATAATCCTAATTTACAATTGTGGATATCTACAGTGTGCCCAGCACAGTATAGTAATATCTGTGTATCAACTACTTCAGTGAATATTTGTAACTCATGAGGTTGATATTGTCACTAACCCACTTTGTAGATGAGAACATTGAGACTTCGTTTCAGTGAGCTGCCCAAAGTCAACGAGCTAATAAGTGAGTGAGATGTGCTGGTGCACAAATGTAATCCAAGAACTCTTGGAGGCTAAGATCAGAAGGATCACCAACTTGAACCCAGTCTGGGTAACTTAGCAACATAGTGAGACTCTGTCTCAAAAAAAAAAAAAAATGGTGATGTAGTTCAGTGTGAAGACTCTGGATTCAGTGTCTAAGACCCTAGTATTACCTCACCCACTAAGAAAGTGCTAATATCTGGTAGACAGCATTCAAATCCAAGCAGTTTACTTCCACAACCTAACCATGATGTGGCCAGAGAAATTAAGGCCAATGACACCACACAGGATGAAAGAAGACCAACAAGAACCAAGGAGTTACCAGCAGGGCTTACACAGCAGCTGGGTGAAGTCTCTGCATCTAACAGGCCTCTTGGGATCAAGCAGATGCTGAGAGTAGAGTCTGAAGATACAAACAGAAGTTTCTTTTGCATTTCAGACTGGGGAGTAGAGAAGCCAAGTCATAAGCCTCATAAACTGCTTCAATGCAGTCACCAAAGAGGTAACAGAACCTCAGAGGTCTAAACAGGTTGTCAGCCAGTGAGAATCAGGTGAGTAGGAGCACAGAATGACAGGAAACCAGCCAATGGCCCTGATCAAACAGGGCCTCATTCATGCACAGTGGAAGCCACTGAGGGTTGGACTGGGTACAGTGCCCGAGGGTCTAAGACTGGAGATAGGACAGGACCAGCCTATAGCGATCTATGTTGCTGAACAGAAAACTCCTCAAGGACTCCCTGTATCCCCACCCAGCCAAGCTCCTTTCCCACATACCAGGTCCACTTTCAAGCTTGGGATTTTTCCCCCTCCTTCTTGAGTGAGGTGAAGGCTAGAAATGAAAGCAAGATAAACCATTCCCTGAATGCTTGCTTACTCTTGTAGAAATTCTGCTATTGTTATCCATATTTGGGACTCGTAAGGCACTGAATCTAAATAGCAATTTATGTTCTTCATTGATGTTACCAGACCTATCTGCCTTAGGATTGAGGCTGTCCAAGACACTCTTTAACCAAAAAAAGGTACATCTTTGTAGATTCTCCTTATTACCTGTGGATATTTCCTCTTAATGGTAATCTTTGTAATCACTGAATGTGTCTCATTTGCAGATATAAAGTAGCTCATTGTTGATTCCAAGTTACTTAGGTTTTGTTACAGTAACTGTTTCAGCGGTGTCCACAGGTCCCCTCAAAGCCTTGTGTGTCATAGTGAGGCTCTTTCAGAGATGGCTGTATCTAAAGTGTATAATTAATTCATGGTATGATGCTGGGGTTAAGGGTGTGGCACTGCCCTAATCCAGGTAGTATAGATAGAATACAAAAGGAGCAAAGAGAAAGCTGCTCAGGCCCTTAGCTTGCTTGCTTTTCCTGTCTTCGGCCTGCCATGAACAGTTTCTCCTCTGCAATGCCTGTCTGCCCCACCATCCTGCCTTGGGGCCAGCAGATTATAGACTGAAACCTCTGCAAACTGTAAGCTAAATAAGTCTTTCCTCCCTTAATCTGTGGGTGGTGGATATTTTATCTCAGCAATGACAGAAGTAACAGAGACAGTAACAAAACTTAGATTTACTAATAGAAATAATTTTATATCTGAAATACCAAGCAATTATTGATAGTCTGCTCAATCCATATTCTGAACCCATATATATGCATATGAAAATCAATCAAGGTCCATACACTTGGACCACAAGCAATTACCTATTGGTGTGATTACTTCCTGGTAGAACTGAGTTCTTCCTCAGTTTCTCAAAAAAAAAAATCCTAGATTTTAAAATTATTTAATGAGGAGCCAGGGAGATGGCTCAGTAGAATTAGCCCTTGCCTGACAAATGCAAGAGCCTGAGTTCAATCCCAAATTCTGGAAAAAAAAAGAAAGAAAGAAAGAAAGAAAGAAAGAAAGAAAGAAAGAAAGAAAGAAAGAAAGAAAGAAAGGAAAAAAAATTATTTAATGAGAGATTTAAATATTTAAATATGTTACAGCCAATCACTGATAAGTAAAGGAAGGATAATCTGGAGAAGATTTTTTTTGTACTCATTATTAACTTTACTGAAAATCAGTGATAATTATATAGCAAATTAAAAATTGTAGACAAATATTGAAATATGAAAGATATAAGATGTAGACAGTGAATTTTAGAAAAATATTTCTGACATGAATATATAACATGAGAATAATAATATATTGCACATTTTTAAAAAATTAAAAACTTAAATGAATATAACAATAAAAATTGTCTAAAATAAACATGAAGAAGAGTCTACAGATCAGTCATACAATAGTTCTCTCTGTGCCAAAATCAAGAAACTTATATTCACATAATTAGAATTCTCAAAGTACAAGGGGGTAGGCAATAAATATCTGAAGATTTAAGACACGTGAATTTAGTTAAAATTATAGCACCACATTTCCAAGAAAAATGAACCTTTTGCCCAAGAAATATGAATAAAATCATGCCAGGATACACAAAACTGAAATTGTGCAAAATTAATTGTAAAGAAAAAATCATTAAAGCATATACATAGAAAAAAATATTAGCTACGGAAGAACAAAATTAAATAGCATCTTATTCCACATTAGAAAATAAAAAGAGCAAGTGGGTAAGAACTAGATTTATTTATTCAAAGGACTGAAGAAAAAAAAGATCTATCCTCATTGAATTTTATGCTTAGCAAACATAGCTTTGAAAACTAAAAGTAAAATATTTTCCTGTTATACAAACTCAAAATATTCCAATATCTCGAGACGTGGCATATAGGAAATAACAAAGAGCATAATTCAGAAGGCAAAAGAAGTTGCTGTATGCTCCTGGATGGAAAATAAAGAGCTCTCAAAATGATAGTTATACAGGACTATGTAAAATATATTAAATGAACCCATTTAAAAGGTCATTAAGGATTTCTATGAAACAGTATCAATATTATGTTGGATTATACACATATTTTTTTCATGTGTGTGTGTATAAAAGACAAGGAAGAAGTAACATAAAGTCAATGGAAAATGGAAGTACACTTTCTAAAGTTTCTAATACTAGGAGAAAATATCATACCATGTCTTATAAGTAGATTGTAAGTCAAAGAAACAGTATAAATCATAAAACAAAAATTAAAATTAAACAATATTCAGAAAATTAAATACCAATTAATTCAAAAATAAATTAAATATTTCAAAATAATATTCAAAAATTAAAATTAAATTGTGAGTCCAACTAAGAGGCCAAGAGGTAGCGTATCATATATACAAATATGTGATCAACTCAGAGTACTCACACAGTATTTGATTAGGTTAATATATACAAAAATATCAACTAAGAAAAAGTTTTCATGACAGTAAAGAATTACTAATAAACCACAGAAAAAGTACTGCAATGGCAAACATATGACCAGCACTTCTAAGAGTTTGGGGATAGGATATTGCACCAAGTTCTAGTGTGTTGTGGACATGGATAACAACCATGACACTTACTGGTGGCCAATGTCACTTGTGGGACTGAGCTACTGCTATTTCCTTGATATCTACCCTGTAGACCTGGACAGAACCATGACCCATAAGGCAGGAGAAGTTCATTTGTAGAGTATGCTGATGGAAGTATTTTGCCTCTGTATACAAAAGAATAATTGAAAGATTGCTGTCATATGCCTCTTATTCTCCTGTGTTTAATTGTTTGCTCTATTTCATGGGTTCTTTCCATTCTCATTCATGGAGTTGTAGTCATTTTGATCCCTCTCTAGAATATCTTTTAGTAGTCTGTGTAGGGTTGGCTTTGTTCTCATAAATTCTTTAGTTGTTGTCATGGAAGTATTTCACTTCTCCATTAAACTTGAAAGAGAGTTTTGCAGAGTATATCAGTCTGGGTTAGAATTTGTTTTCTTACAAGACGTGTACTATTTTGCTCTGTGCTTTTCTTGACTTGATGGTTTTTGAAGAGAAATCTGCTATTACCCAGATGGGTTTTCCTTTAAATGTGATCTGTTTCTTTTCTCTAGAAGCTTTTAGTATACTGTTCCTGTGCTGAATTTCTGGGATCTTGATTAATATATGTCTGGGTGTGGTTTTAATTGGGTTGATGCTATTTGGCATTCTATATGCTTCCGTTTTCTGAATGTCAGATTGTTTCCCCATATTTGGGAAGTTTTCTGCTATTACTTCCCCCTATGTTCTTTTATATCATTTTTATTGACTCCTTCTTTCTCATTGATACCTATTAGTCTTACATTGTTCATCTTTGCATCATCTTGCTGATGTTGGTTTATTTTTTCCTACATTCTAGTTATTTTTAAAATATCTTTTCTTTTTTTAATAATATCATTTAGTGGTGTCATTTATGGTAGAAAAACAGTTCCTACACCAGATGTACATAACTCAATTGTTAAATAGAACATTTCTGAAGTGAATACACACCCCCTGACCCAGTATTTTTTTTATCAATTTTTTAGGATGGCCGGCCAATTTGTCTTCTCCCCCCACCCTAAGACATGTAAGCAACTGCTAAAGAAAAGTAGTAAATAGTCACTTGGGCTATAGCATTTTCAACTCCACTCTGAAGAGAAGACTCCAATTACACTCGAGATTTAATTTCTCTCAATTTTGCCTAACAAAAGTTCCTAAGTCCAGTATTTACAATATTATAGCACTAACAGAACAATGTCTACAATTCATCTTTTTCTGCTGTATACTCTTCACCAGTCAGGGGAGGGCCTGCACTTCCATAGAGTTTGCTGATAGTAGGCTGAACAATTTCTTCTAATTCCTTCTTCTTTGCTTTGAAGTCTTCAATGTCAGCATCTTGGTGGCTTTCCAGCCACTCAATCTTGTCCTCTACAGTTTTTTCCATGGTCTCCTTATCTTCTGAGGAAAGTTTGCCTCCTAGCTTTTCTTTACCTCCAATCTGTTTCTTTGAAGAGTAGGCATAGCTTTCCAGCTCATTCCTAGTGTCGATGCATCCCTCAGCTTTTTGTCTTCCTCAGCAAACTTCTTAGCATTATTAACCATCCTTTCAATTTCTTCAGGTGTCAGGTGATTTTTGTCATTGGTGATTATGATCTTATTTTTATTTTCTGTACCCTTGTATTCAGCTGTCACCCAAAGAATGCCATTCACATCTATCTCAAAGGTGATTTCAATCTGGGGGAGCCCAGGAGGAGCAGGAGGAATTCCAGTCATGTCAAATGTACCCAGGAGGTGATTATCTTTCATCAGGGATCACTCCCCTTTATAGACTTTGATTGTTAACAGTTGGTTGATTATGAGAAGCTATGGAAAAGATCTGAGACTTCTTGGTAGGGACCACAGTGTTTCTTGGAGTCAGTTTGGTCATGACACCTCCCACATTTTCAATGCCAAGTATAAGGAGACATACATCCAGCAGTATCAGGTCTCCTGTATCTTGATCACCTTAGTGTACACCAGCCTGGACAGCAGCACCATACACTACAGCCTCACCTGGGTTTACGCCACGGGGTGGCTCCTTGCCATTGAAGAACTCTTTAACTAGTTGCTGTATCTTTGGAATTCAAGTAGAGCCACCAAGAACAATTTCATAGATATCAGACTTCTTCAAGTCAGAATCTTCCAACACTTTCTGGATGGGCTTCATGGTAAAACAGAACAGATCCATGTTTAGTTCTTCAAATTTGGGATGAGTAAAGGTCTCAGAAAAGTCTTCTCCTTCATAGAAAGATTCAATTTCAATTCTTGCTTGATGCTGAGAAGAGAGGGCCCGCTTGACCTTTTCTACCTCACGATGGAGTTTCTGTACAGCTCTGTTGGCCTTCCTCACAGCTTTGCCAGTCTTCTTTTTGTACAGCTTGATGAAGGGTTCCACAATATGATGGTCAAAGTCCCCTCCACCCAGATGAGTATTTCCATTAGTGACCACAACTGCGAAGACACCATTGTTGATGGTGAGAAAAGACACATCAAAAGCTCCACCACCAAGGTCAAACATCAGGATGGTTTTCCCCCTCTCTCTTATCCAGGTCATAAACAATAGCAGCTGTTGTCATCTCATTGGTGATCCTCATAACATTCAGCAATTGTACCAGGATCTTTGGTTGCTTGCCTTTGAGCATCATTAAAATAGGCAGGTACAGTAAAACTGCATGAGTAACCTTCTTTCCCAAATAAGCCTCAGTAGTTTCCTTCATTTTAGTGAGAACCATGAGAGAAATTTCTTCCAGAGCAAACGTCTTGGTTTACCCACCTCCAATATCAACTTTAATGTATGGTTTAGTTTTCTTTTCAACCACCTTGAAAGGCAAGAACTTGATGTCCTGCTGCACAGAGGGGCTATTCCAAGTGCGACCGATGAGCCACTTGGTTTTGAAGACCATATTCTTGGGATTGGAGGTGAGCTGGTTCTTGGCCACATCCCCAGTCAGCCGCTTCCCTTCTGGAGTGAAGGCCATGTAAGATGGCATGATGCAGTTGCCCTGATCGTTAGCAATGATCTCCATGCAACCATTCTTGAACATCCCAATGCAGAAGTAGGTGGTCCCCAGGTCGATGCCAACCACTGTGCCCACATCCTCCTTCATGCCCTCCTTCTTGGCTTGTGCCACACTGAGCAGCAGGAGCACCATGGCTACCAGACACAGCTTCATCTCTGCGGTGCCGTCAGCCAATCTGTCAGCAGGAGTCGCAGACAACACAGCAATAGGCTGCAAAACCCAGGTGCAGCAAGGTCACTGATCTTTCACACAGGTGCACACCAGACCAAAAATTGCTGTGTTGTCTCCACTGGTGATCAAAAGATCTTATCTTTTCATTAGCTGCAATGGTGTCTTCAGGGTCTGAAAGTCTATTTTCACTTTCATTCAAATGGTTTTGCCAGCTTGTGACTGAGGTTGTAATTTCCTGTATAGCACTTTGAATCGGCTTCATGCATTCTATTTCCTATATTGTTCATTCAAGGATTCCATCATTTTTCTATTCTCCTCTATATTTTATCAGTATCTTCTTTACAAGTACTTAATACTTCTTTCATTATGGTTATCATTTCTTTTTTTACTTCAGAAATTATTTCTGATCTGATTTCCTCTGTACCTTTCTGCAGTTGTTTCTTTATTTCCAACACTATTATTTCAGGGATTTCAGGTGTGTGATTTCCAATTTCTTCTATGCTGTTGTCTCCTGAATTTGTTCTGAATGGGCTCAGGGCCTGAGAATGAATTTTGCTCCTTCTCTTTGCCATTTTGTATAGCACCATCTTCTGACATTAGGTGTAGAGCTCTGGTATAGTTATCACCTTAGCACCAGGTCTGGATTTACCAAGTTCAAAACTGGTCCAGGTGGGTGTGGCTTGGGTCTGGCTGTTGTGCTCCACTTCTTCCTGCTGCAGCCCTTGGAGGTGAACCCTCTGTACCACTCTGGCAAGATGTTCTGCTCCTGGATCAGTTGGGTGGGTCTTGCCTCTAGCCTCTCTCCAGTGAGTTCTGCTGCAAGATTCCACACTGATCCTGTCTGATGGAGGAAGTTCCATACACACACACACACACACACACACACACACACACACACAGCCTGCCTGCTGGCTGGCTGGAATGAGGATCCAGAGGGCCCTGGGGGTCCCACTCACACACCGGGCCTGTGTGTTGGCTGGAATGGAGAAGTTTTTTTAATTTACTTATTGTTAGACAGAGCTGGTTTGATTCCCAGTACCACATGCTGTGCCACATGTGGCCCTGCCCTTGGTGCATTGAGCCAGTGACCAAGTTCCAGCCATAATACTGTTTCTGCAGGTGGTAGAGCCCCCCTGATGGGTTTGTAGATTCTTGTGTACAATGCACAAAGAATTGGACAAAGCACATGATGATGAAGAAAAAACAATGTTTTATTTAAGTGACAGCATGCTCAGGGCGAGGGAGCTCAGACTGGTGAAAAAGAGAACACCTCAAGTGCTGAAGGTATTGGGTTTAAGAATTTAAAATGTTGCACCAAGCCTAGGGTGCCTCCCATTTGATCTTCCAGCATGACTGGCAATGTGACTGACGGGGTGCTGAATGGCCTCAGCTGCGTCTATTGCGCAGGTCCTTTCCCAGTTCACTGCTATTATTGGATGTATGAGCAGTAGTCCATACACAGGAGACTTCAGTGAGCTCCAAGTGAAGAAAAGTTATATAGTATAGATCAGTGATAGTGAACCTATGGCACACAGGCCACAATGGGCTGCATCACTAAAAACTCTACACAGTTTGCTGTCACTGGTCTAGATCATGGTCACAGGATTTCATGACTGCTTTCTTTTAGATACATAAGTTTTCAGGCTGAGTTTAAGGATTTGGTTATGCTGAGTAACACTGGAGAATATTTGGATATTTGGTGGGGAGGATGGGACCTCCTGGGAGAAAAAAATCATTTCAATGGTGAAACGCAGAATTCAATGACAGTATCAGAAAAGAGCAGGGTGGCCACTCAAGTTCTCAAGGGACCCAGGAGCAATTCCAGGGCCACACTGGGAGAACAGCAGCAGCACCCAGCCCTGGTCCTCTCAGCACTGGCAGCAGCCTTGCCACAGGATGGATTTTGGTATCATCAGCATCTTAGTTACTTCTCCATTGCTGGCACATGACACCCAACACCCAGAACTTAAGAGAGGATGGATTTATTTTGGTTCACAGTTTCAGTCCCCAGTTGGCTGGATCCATGTTAGAAATAAGATGGTGAAAGGGCATGGCAGAGGAAAAGTGCTCATCTGTGGCAGCTAGGAAGTAGAGAATGAAAGAAGAGCCTAGGAGGAAGATAAGCTTTTCCAGGTTATGCCCTCGGTGACCCATTTCTGACCAGGTGCCACCTCCTAACAGCAAGTCAGCTATGAACTTATTAGTGGACTAATCCACTAAAGATTAGAGTACCCTCAAGATGCAGTCATCTTTCAAACACATGAGATATTGGGGGAACACTTTAGGTTTAATCTCTAGCCATCACCAACCATAGTTGTCCCTACAGCCATCCATTGAGGAGACAGAGGTGGCCAGGTTGTAGAACATGTCAGACCTCCCCTGAGAACTTCATAATTAGAAGTGAAATATACTTTGTGATTATGACTGTAACCTGATTTTCCTCTCCAGGCAGATGTGTGACTCTTTGACTACTGACTATGGGATGCCCTTGATGTGCTAAGCATTTTAAGCTGAAGGAAAGTGAAAATACTAAACAAGCAAGGTCGTCACACTGACCTAGTCCTTCCTCTTTCCCATAAAGCAGATCATCAAAGAATTCTCTAAACTTCTTTCCCTGAGAACAGATCATAAGCTTTCCATTTCAGAAGGGCCCTGCCTTATACTCAAAGATCAAGAAGACGTTTTCAAGAAGACCATGTTTTATTACCATAAGCTCTACTGTTGTCCTCCAATCACTCTTCTGTATAACCTCCCCCAAAAGACAATTTTTCCTTGGTCTTTGGGTCTTCATTGTACAAACTTCTTATGTTATATTTTGGTCAGTTTCAGTAATGTAATTCAGTGCTGAGTGCTCTCCCAGCACATGTGAAAAGCCCCAAGTTCAATCCCCAGTACATCAAAAAGAGCAAACTTTGGTTAAACAAATGTTTTAAGCTTTTTCTCTCATTATCATGTTTTGTTGCTGTTATTGTTGTAGTATTAGTAGAGGTTTCATCTACAACCCTTATAACTGGTAAGGAATGGATGTTACCTTTTCTCTCCTACTTGAACATCTAGTCTACCTGTCACCTGGACCAAATTCTACATGCCCTTCATCTCATTTATATGAATGGTTTCCATGGTTGGACTCTTAGTACCACCCAAGGTATGTAGCAACTTAATCCTCAATGTGATACTATCAAGAGGTAAGACCTTTGGGGAAGAAGTCATAAGAAATCCACCCTCTTATATGATATTATTGCCCTATAAAAGAGGTCAAAAGGAGCTACTTGGTCCTTCTCACCCATCCCAAGCAAGCATGCAACAAATGGGGCCCCTGATGAAGAACATAAGCCCCCTCCAAACAGCAAATCTTCTGGTGCCTTGATTTTGGACTTCCCAGTTTCCAGAACTGTGAGAAATAAGTTTTTAACATTTGTACATGAACTCATCTAAGAAATTTTCATTGCAATAGCCAAAAAGTATTGTAACAGTCACCTTCAGCTTCTCCTTTCTGTGACCATAGCCCAAGAAGACTGAGCTCTGTGGGCAGAATTATCCTGGGCAGTATTTTAAGCCAGCTCTGGGGAATTGTGTAAGTGGTTATCTCTCCTTACTAAATTTGATCACAATCCTCTTATCTGAAAATGATTACTGGGCTTCAGGAAGGACAGAGTAGTAGGATTACTTCAAGATGTTGGTTATTTAGAAGGGAAATCATCAGTGATAATCATTCCTTACACGTAGTGAGCCAAGTGTCATAAACTACAGCCACAGACAATATTGCAGACCTTCTAAAATTCAGATCTTGTGAAACAGAGTGACATACCAAGAAAGGCTGAAAAGTAGCCTACGAGTTTGATATACCAAGTGATGACTTCTTTTGGCCTTTAAGGATTTCTTCTTGAAACTAGACCAAGTTGTTATTCCTTCACAGAAGCAGAGAAAAAAAATATCTCAAAGCTATAGTCTAATTTAAAACATGAACAATTTGGAGAGTATGTGGTCAAGAAAAAGGCCAGGTTTTTTTTTTCCTAACCCTAGTGAAATAATAGGGCAAGAAGCGAGCTGGGGAAGAAGGATCATGAGGATCTAGTGAGTGTCTCAGGGAAGGAGTGCTCATCCCTGCCCATCACTCCAAGGCTGCTTCCAGGGTGAGAGATGAATCCAGAGAGATTAAATTGGGAAGATAAAACCAGGGAGGCCCAGCACCTCTTTCCATGTGGGCCAAGAGCTGGAAGGCCTAGAGTTTTACCACAGACTAGCAGAGGCTGCAGCAGGAGGAAAAATGCCTGCAGGAGGCATCTATGATAGGAAGCCCAAGGCAGCCCTGCTGAGAGTATGGGCGTGTCTCACACAGAAGAGTGAGGTCACAGTATGATCTTGAGTGACAGTGGACCTGCCAAGACTGCCTTGCTGGGCAGCACACAGAGGATCAGGAGGTAGATAAATGCCTTCATAGCAGTCCTGCCCTGGCCTCCCTGCTGCCTTGACTACCTGTAAGCACCAGAAACTGAGATGCAAGAGGTAAAGAAATGGAAAAAGCTTGAATTAATTTGGAAGCATCTTGAATTGAGTCAACCCTGAACTGACAGAGAAGACATTTTTTCTGTGTTTGTTTTGGCTTTTGGTTTTGGAAACAGGGTCTAACTGTGAACCTCAGGCTATCCTTAAACTTATAGCAATCTTCCTGCCTCATTCTCTTGAGTGCGGAGATTAAAAGTGTGTCCCACCATGCCCACCTTATATTTTCACCAAGAGGAATGAATTTTTGAGATATAAATTGTTCATAATATATAAATAAAACTTCATCTCTTTGGCACTCTATTTTGTTTAATGTTTCTTAAATAAAACCAGGTAGGTGAAAATAGTCAATTTTCAAAGCAAACAAATCAGATACTGGTTCTTTCTTTGTTTAAAAGAAAAAAGAATTTCAAAAATGTACTGTTTGTTGAATTCCTTGCACAGAGTAGATAATCATGTGTGAATGTTGCTGACTGTCC